GTACATAAGCCAAAACTAGAACTAGGGCCATGTAAATAGAAACCATGGCTGTGGGTATCTTGAATAAGGGACTAAATCAGGTGAACATACATAGGATAAAAGGGGGGAAATTTAGGTTGTTTTTTCCTAATGTTTTCTGAGCCAGCAAGAGGTAGTCCCAGAAATAGTGTTGGAAGCTTTATAGTTTTCAGTTAATAAAATCATAACCAAAGCCTGTTGTAACCAAGGACAGTGGTGAATGTGACCAAGGAACAGACAAGGTTAATTTGGGCTAAGTTGTATCTGTGGGTATTAGAATATCTTTTCACTTATTTTCATCAGGGAATCCTGTAAATTTCAGATACAATGAGGGCTTAGATACCCATGTTTGCGGATCAGTGCAGTTTATAATAAGCTTCATGAGTGTTCTGTGGAATTTAGGCATCTTTAAATTAAAAAAAAAACTTACAGATACCTTGACTTTGAAGGAAGTAAAAAATTACCTGGCTATATACATGAGTATCTTTCCTGTCCCCAGATATAATTGGGGTGGTAGGTGCTATTTTTCTCCTCTACTCTGAGTAGTTCTGTTACAAGATTTGTGGGGTTTTTCCCCACACCAAGCAGTACTCCAAATTCTTAGTGGACACTAGCTGTCCTGCAGTTTAATTAAATTCTGATACTACCTGGAGGTAATGGTAGATCCCACAAGGTAAAGAAAGGGCTCAGTCCCACAGGACTGCCCCCAAATGCGATGCCAGTGCAAATCCAGGCCTCCCCTACTTGTCAGACAAGCTATAAATTGGGTGTTCCAGTGACTCCCTCCTTGGGTTTGATAATTTGTTAGAATGGCCCAAAGAACTTGGGGGAACTATTTATGTTTACTGATTTATTACAAAGGATATTATACAGGATACAAACAGCCAGATGAAATGGTACATAGAGCAAGGTCCAAAAAGGTCCAAGTGCAGAAGCTTCTGTCCCTGTGGAACTGGGGTATGCTACCCGGGTTTACTAGTCCGGAAGTTCATTAAATCTTGTTCAAGAGTTTTTTAAGAGCTTAATC